TGTGTGAGTTACTCATGTTGTTTTGTGCTTGTACGACACCTAGTGGCCAAAATCAAACTTTAATTCCTTGTTTCAGTGATGAGGCAATGGGAGACATGTAAATTGGCTTTTCTTGCTGATTTGCAACATGACTCAACATTCCTTTAGAAGCAGCATTTTCAAATGTTCTCATTCATGTTCCCATTGTGCTTTATTTTCCATTACAGAGACATCACTTTGCCCAGGCCATCGCCATTCTGAACACTTGTGGCTGCAACATTTTTGAGAAGTTCTCCAGAAAGGTAAGATATAAAATCAAACATTCACTCATTACGAATGTCTCTCTTTGTTTCTCTATCCATTTGCATTTACTAGATTCTGCTATCACTGTATGTGCAAGCTAAAGATATTTTTTATGTCTTTTAGGACTACCAGCGCGTGCTGGATTTGATTAGAGACATCATTCTGGCTACAGACCTGGCTCACCATCTTCGCATTTTCAAGGACCTGCAGAAGATGGCTGATGGTATGTCCCAGTAGATCAGTATGCGCAGCCACATCTTTACTTTTGCTTTTTACTGAAAACCTGAACAGCAAAAAGAAGGCTTGCTTCATATGCTTGGTCCAGAGCTGTGAAATAAAACCAATAGCTCTATTTTTACCTGAATTAGAACAGGCTGTTTCAAGAGAAATTATGTAACATGAATGATATTTAAAGGATGCAGTATTAGAAAGGTAAACAGTTTATGTCCATTAATCAATGACAGACATACTGACTGTAACATTCTGAAACCATTTCCTCTGCAGTATGTTTCCCTTCCTGACACCACACAAAAGGCACATACATGCTCTAGATTTTCATTAATTGACTTATTTTTCAGAAATCTGAGGTCAAACTTGCTGTATTCATCACTGACATTCTTATTAGTCCCTTACTTTCATTGGACTATTTACCCTTTTGAGGAGACAGTTGCTTTCTGCACTCTTATGTAATATAATTGGCTGTAACCTCCTGGCCAGCGGTTTGTTACGCCTGAATGCAGCCAATTATAAGTTATCCTGAGTGGATGTCTCCTCAGTGGAATCAATTTTGTGCTGTTAAAGCAATCCAAGGACATTAAAAGCTTCTAAATGAGTCGAGCAACACTCAGAGTTTGTAACTTGTCAATCATGGACGGAAATAGTTTGATCAAACTCAGACTGGAAATATACAATGTTAAGTTGCCACACAACATCATTTCTACTTAGCAAACACACAAACTTATACAGTTATGACTTCTGTCCATCAGTATCTCTCAATATATATTAATTGGGCATTTTGAGCTTAGATAAATTCATGAAGTTAAATGTTTCAATCTGAAATTATACGGTGGTGTAAAGTTGTTGGCTAGTGAATTTACCAATGGGTTTCCTCAAATCTTCACAAAGCTTTCATATAATTCACTGCCTAACCAACTATAGCTTAGATAGTCATTTTTGTAATGTGCGTGTTTCAGATGGATACAATCCAAAAAGCCGTACCCACCGCTCGATGCTGCTGTGCCTGTTGATGACATCGTGTGACCTGTCAGACCAAACCAAGGGTTGGAAAACAACACGCAAGATTGCTGTCAGTTCAAAGTCTACACAAATGTCTACACTTATATACCCCAAATGTAGCTAAGTGTGTTTAGTTTTTAATATATGACGAACTATTACACAAAAGCATACCTCCATTTGTCACCACATTAGGAAATATGTTTAAATTGGAGAATAACAGTAACAGCCATTAGTACATATATGAGTATAATGTAAAATATTCAATCATGTAAATGTATCTCAGTGTTAGTCCAATTAACCTTGTAATGTGAACAATTATTGATATTGATATTTAGTAATTAGTGCAGCACTAGTTGCATAAGTATAGTAGTCGAAGTAATAGTGGTAATTATAGTTGTCCCACACACTGCTCTGTCATTTAATACAGGTTTCAGAAAGCGTATACACTGTTTCTGTTAGTTGACGTGCAGTAGCAGCTCCTATTTTTAACAGTGCCTTCCTAAAGATTTCCAATTCGTAATGGCAATACAATAAAACTGACCCATTTGCGGGACAATACAGATTATGAGATGCTTAGCACTACAGGAACAACCTTTCAGTCTATATTCCATTATATTCACTCCATTTTAGGATTATGTTTAATCTTTGTCTGCCCCCTTTTCAACATCAAACCCTTGACCCTTGTCCTAAATCCTGCACCCTCAATCTCCTAACACTGAACACCTACAGCAAACGCACTGTAATCCTTATTCCCAAAACACATTCCATTTAATTTAGGGTCTGGCTTGTTTTGGTCTCAGTTGCTACATTATTTTCTCAGTGGCCAGAATATGCACGGGGATTAATGAAAAATACCAATAACTCCAAATATTGACATGTAATGAATGTAATAATGACTATCTTTTATCATTGTTGTGATTCAGCATGGTCCAATTACAGTAATATTTGTCCCTCCCAACGCTAAAACCCCAGAGTGTGATACACCAAGTTTGAATCAAATATGGCATTATGTTATCGTATGGTATTGCGTAGTAGCTTGAAATATTCTATTTATTTATTCTATTATTGTTTTATGCTTGTTTTAAAGTTAAATGAAAATCCAAACTTCAGTACTGACAATTGGTTTGCCCCCAAAATATGTTATAATAGAGTTTATATTTTAATAATACAGATTATATTTTCTGTTTTATTGTGTCACATTAACTCAATTGATGCCATTGTGACTCTGTGTGTCCACAGGAGCTGATTTATAAAGAGTTCTTCTCTCAAGGAGATCTGGTATGTGTCAGTGTACATCGGCTGTTAAATGGCATGTGAAATTATTTAGCAAGAGTGTAAAGTGTGTGTCATTTTACACAATAGTGAGCTCATTACTCATGTCTGTCTGTGTCTGTCTGTGTGTGTGCAGGAAAAAGCCATGGGGAACAGGCCCAGTGAGATGATGGACAGAGAGAAAGCGTACATCCCAGAACTACAGATAAGCTTCATGGAACATATCGCCATGCCCATTTACAAGTGCGTATGAAAATTCACATCCTCCCTACCCTGATCCATTTAATCACTTTGTCTTAGGACTGAAGTATTGAACACAGGGAGAGAAATATGAAAATAAAAAAGTCAAGTAGGAATCTTCTGTCCAAGTTCATCAGAAATACAGAATTGTAAACTGCATTTGGATTTTATTCAGTATAATTCATTCAGTTTTTCATTATTTAAAGCTGCTCTAATTAGTATTTTTTATATTAACATTGTATCAAATGACTGATCTTTATGTACCAAACTCTGCATTTTAGCATCTTTCAGCTCATTCTTTCAGTTTTATGGCTCCACAACTTTATACTGTTTAATTCACTGGTCTCATCAGTGGAATTTTTGCTCTAAAATCAC